CATGATGGCAGCTTTGAGGCTCCGTAAAGACATGCCGGGTGCCACATTACGCCAGGACAAAGGCTGCAGGCAGGAAAACCCACTGAGATTAAATTTGCAGGCAGTTTTTTTCTCCAAGCCAAGCAAATGTAAAGGTATCAAGAAGTTAAATCTAGACATTCTGAGATGTAGACCTCAGTAAAAGGACTCTAAAGGGTATTTAAATGCTCACCGATAGCCAGTGCAAAGCATAACACTACTTATGTTAGCCCGGTCTTACGCAAAGGCAAAGTTTGAAGAGCCAACAAACAGGAAGGGAGAGGAAAGGTTTGATTTGCAACGAAGCACAGCCTGTAGGAATAAAGAGCAGGTAAGGACCTGGTGAGAACCAAAGGCGGTAAAGTAGATTGTGGTTAATTTTGCGTAGAAAATGGTGTTGCTTCATCTGATTCATACACCATCGTTTCGAGGTACCTTTCTCAGCCTGACTATCGCTGGAAGAGCGTGCCAGGCGGCTGGCAACAGCCGAGCTGGGAGCTACAGGTGACACGGGAGATGTGGGCAGGCTTGCTGACCCTGGGAGATAGAGTTATCATTAGTGCGTTACCTTTTTTCCAGCACAAGTATAAGGGGGACTTTCTCCCTGGTGTTTATTTCCTGTGCCCCCCGCCCCAAGCTCTCCCCGCGCTGTAGGTGAACGTGCTTGTGAACAAAAGCCTACCTCAGCCAGTGTAAATAACATGGAAAATAGCCATGGCAACATGGCAGTGAATGGGCTCTAGCAGCTCTACGCACTATGGGGAGATTTTTATTTGCATTTGTAACAAGGACATGATGATAAAACGCAGAAGGGGCGATACGATGTGAAGATCACAGCAAACTCATTAAATTCAATTAGATGTCCAGCTTTAGAAATTCAAATTTCTACCTTTTATATGTCAGAGAGATTTAACAAAAACAAAAACAAAAGCGGGGCAGTGGGAACACGGACAGATGGGCGGTTTGTAAACTCAGAATGTTGCAAATAAAATCCAATAATGTAACAAGCTGACAAAGCCTGACAACACACTGACAGAGATGCTGCTTCATAAAACCTCTGAATAGTGAGGAAACGGTCCACAAAGCAACAGGCGTAAAACTGGGGAGAGTACGGCTCACCTTTGTATGGTCCTGATTCAATGATGCCCTCCGTGGTTGAGGCAAAGTTGCTTGATGTGACACAAGTCTCTGAAAGGTTTATGGCCCCCGGGCCACTGGGATAAGAGTCCTACGGGAGGAAACAAAACAAAGATAAAATAGTTTAAGTGGACCTGACAGACACAAACATATAAAAACATATCTGCACTTGATTTCTTAAGGACTGGAAGCTTCCTTCTGTAGTCTGAAACCATCCTCCTGGGGATCCGTAGAGAGATGGCTTTTACTGAAATACAATCTCAAGACTATCAGCTATCCCCTGATAACAGTTTAGCTGTCTCTTAGCATCTTTTAGTTGCCTTCCTGACCAGCAAGCAGAACAGGAAGTCTTTGCGTGATAGCTACAGATGATTGGTGGGTGTCCCCAAAGGCTTAATCAGAAGAAGGTCTTATGGGTTCGCACATTAACAACTGATTTAGTGAAGCTAAATTTATGAGTCACTTTTGAAATACATCTACGGTCGGGAAGAGAGAAAACCTCCAGTGTGGTTTATCAAGCTGTTTAAATCTTTTATACCATCTAAAGTTTTAATGTAATATATTTTTGCCCACTAACAGTGCAGACACACAGGGTGGCACGCAACAATTTGTGAAACATTCACCACTCCTAACAAATTAATAACCTCACACTCAAGAAAGCTCAAACAGCCGTGCCCAGGATCAATTCATCTCGTTCAGCACCGAATCATTGCGTTTAAGTTCAGGAGAGTTATGACCATGTGGTCACCAGCAACTATGACCATAAAAACATGGAGCGTTATGGTTTTGCTGTCACCATTACACATATTGATGCCTTCCTAAAGCGAGAGCCAATCAAAAGGACCACTCCCTCCATGACTATCACCATCTACACCACAGGTCTCCAGCTCCAATCCTCAAGAGCTACTGTGCTGCAGCTTTTAGATGCATCCTTGTTCCAGCAGACCTGAATCAAGTGAATGGCTCATTACCAGGACTTTGCCAAACTTGATGGCATGCTGAAGAGGTAATTTAACCATTTGATTCAGCTGTCAAGGACAGTAGCTCTCGAGGACTGGAGCTGGAGACCCCTGATCTACACTATAGGTATATGAAGCCATATGGTGCGACCTGACATGCACCTCCCCAGATATCTGGCTATTCCGCTCAATACTTGTCACACACTAACAAAGGACTTGGCCACTTGTGTAGACGCTGTAGGCTCTACATTGATTCATCACAGCAGGATTCAAGTGGCATGGAACACATGTATCAAACGTTTTTATCATTTTACGCATAAGTAATATAAGAATATTTATTTCATTCCTCCATTCACATTCAAGTTAAATCAAGTCAGATGAAACCAGGTAAGAACCTTGCGGCAATTTATCAGTTCCTGCCTCAGCAAGTTATTTTATCAGGATTAAACATTTTAAAGTTCCACACATGCTTGTGGTTACACCATAGACAGTTTATAAAAAAATTTTAAAAAAAAATGTGAACACAGCTGTCTGACTGGGAAAAGGCCAATGTGGAAGTGCTTAAAAACTTGCACTCTATCTGAAGACCACCAGATGGCGATAGCTGTGGTTGCAAAAAGACTTCCAGTCCTATAGAAGTCTATGGGAAAATGGCTCTCTTTCCCAAACTCTAAACACTTTGCTACTGAACTCACTCGTTAGTCACTCATTCTTGTGTCATACTGACTAAAAAAATTAATTGTTAAACTTGGTCATATTATATCTGAAAAAGAAAATAAGCTGGGGTATTTTCTGCTCGCTCATGGGCTTGTCAACCATAAGTTATTAGCCAATGACGAAGTGGTTTCACAGCCAGACCCGCCCCATCCCGTCACATCTGATGTCTCGCGACCAAGACAGTAACTGAGGAAACACTCGTTTGAGGTTTCAAAACAGAACTTCAGAGAACCGCAGGTGAAATGACGGTACCCATGTCCATCTTTTATACTGTCTGTGAGCTGAACAGACTTGGCAGTGTGACTGTGAGCTATAAGGAGCAATCAGCTGGAATCACTGCCAACTCTCAGACTGATGAGAAAGAAATGTGTCTGGGGTCTGTATGTGATTGGTTTCTGGTGGAAAGTGCTTTTCTTTACTGTACCATTACATCACTCCTTGACCGCCTTAAATTAATTTACCCCAAACATCTGCCACTTAGAGCTGCTCCAAAGTGTACAGTTGATGCTCTTTTTTAGAAATCGTGGCAAACTAAATATCAATTGACTGTAAAAGTTGTTAAAAATATCAAATACATCCCTTTATACAAGTTTCCCTTGTTTTCTGACACATACTCTTCACAGATATTTGCACAGTTTTTAAGGTTTAAAGAAACTAAGCTCATCTCTTACCCTGCTGAATACAGACTCGGGGCTCTGCTCTAGTTCACCATTGCTGGTGACGGGGATCTCCGCCGCTGTGCTTCTGTGGGACTCCTCGGCCATTGTGCTCTCCTGCAATAAGGATGGTTAAATGAAGCAGGTTATTTCTCAAGGAAAAAAA